GCACTTAATATTTTCCAGATACTTTACTAAATGGCTTATATGGATTCATTTATTTAATTCCCTCAAGAAATTTTACCACTCAGTTGAAGAAACTGGGGATTTCAGACATTGAATAACTTACCCAAATCACAGATTTAAAAAGCAAAAGAGAAGGGATTTGATTAAGGGTTATTGGGATTGTAATCTCTTCATGTTATACATTTATTTTCTTATAAAAGTCTCAGGGATTTTCACTGCCATTCTAAGTGTAAATAAACAGTATAATATAAAATAACTCCTTATACTTACTTAGCATGCAATATACAAATAGCACACTAGATGGCAACAGAAGGCAAGGAACTAAAGAACAAACGTCTTTCCCACTTAATAAAAATAGTTGGCTTTAAAATTAAAGTATCTATGTCCTCTTCCGTTTTAATACTCTCAGAAGGCAAAATTCATATGTTCTACTACACCGTCTAGGTAAAAACTTCTAGACCCGCATTACATTTTAGAAATTGCTTAGTAATCAATCTGTATTCATTATTACTAATTCAGTGAAAATGTTAGATTCATAACACATAATGCCTTCTTAATTGTTAAATTTTGTAAGAAACACTAATGATAAAACTTCACATTAATATTTAGGACTAATTACTGACTTCAACAAATGTTAATTGTGCAACTAATATGAGGAATACAAGTAAGGATACAATGATAAAATGTATGAAATATGATATGTCAAGAGCTTTGTAATGTTTTGAACAACTAATAATAATAAAAAAAGAAAAAAACAAATATAAAAAAGGATACAATGATAAACATTACAGACCTGATTTTCATGGTCTTGGTGGAGCAAGATATGTAAACATCCACCAAAACTTTATAAAACGTCAGTGGGAAAATAGACGAGGAAGAGATTAATCCAAATAAGAAGAAGCTGGGGAAAACTTATGGGAAAAGCTGCCACCTGAGTTGAACTTCATCTGTTGAACAGATATTTCACAGATGAACACAGGGTAGAAGAGCATTAACATAAGCAAATTTGTGAAAATGTTCATTCATAGTTCATGTTCTGGAAAAAGCATAGCTTATATGAAACACTGTAGTGAAAGATAAGCCTAGAAAAGTTGGAGCAGGCCCAGACCATGAAAAATCTAGAAGGTCATGCTAAATAATTATCTTTAATTCTACTGTAACAGGGGAACAGGCTGAACAGAGAGATCAACAATTCAGGAAGCTTAATAGAGCCATCTGAAAGACACACTGAACCTGGAAGAAACCTGAGAGAAAGCAACTATTGCGACAGCCTGTAAATAGGGGACTCAAGAGAGATTAAGCTTGGCAAATGACTGGATGTAAAGAATAAGTGACTGGGCTGGCATAGTGATACATGACTGTAATTCCAGAAACTCAGGAGACTGAGGCAGGCCATTGCAAGTTTGAGGCCAGCCTCAACAATTGCCAGATCCTGTCTTGAAAAATAAAAAGGGGTTGGGAATGTAGCTCAGTAGTGGAACATTGCTGGATTCAATCGCCATTTAACATAAAGAAACAATCAAACAAAAAAATACACGATGAGGAAGAGCCAAAACATTTTAAAGAATCTAACATAGAGCTGTTGGTAAGACAATGATGTGATTTTGGAAAAAAAAATACAGAGACTAGTAGAAGGAAAAGAATTAGTAGATGGGAAGATGGAAAGAATTAATAACTTGGTTGTATAGTAGATGCCAGTGGAATATCATCCATATAAAGAGGTCCAGTAGAAGCAAGAAGTATAGGTCTGGGGCTCAAGAGAGCAGGTAGCGCTAAAAGCACAATGTGGGGGTGGTTCAAATCAAGATAAATTTTGACTATGAGAGGAGATACAAATCCCAGGAAATCAGGACAACATGGAAGGAGGGATAGGAACTAGTTCTGAATAATGTCTACATTTAGCTGTTTTGCAGTTTTTGCTCACTGACCATGCCTAACCCATAGAAGTCCACTCTGCCCTGAGGAAGGACTCAAAGAAGAAGGTAATAATCCACAGAACGACTGTAAGAAGCACAAGCCCAGTAGCCAGAAGAGCTATTCCGCAGAAGGTGCAGAAGCAGGTGCAAACCGACACAGGCATCTCTTCTGAAAGCCATGGGCATCATGAACTCTTTAGTCAATGACATCTTTGAGCGCATTGTGGGAAAGCCAATGTACCTGAAATGCTACAAGTGCTCCACCATCACGTTGGGGAAAGAAGATACAAAAGGTCCTGGGCCTCATGCTACATGGGTTGCTGGCCAAGCACACTGTGTTGGAGGGCACTAAGGCTGTCACCAAATGCGCCAGTGCCAAGTGAACATGCCATGTAAGAGTCTTTAACCCCAAAGACTCTTTTAAGAGACACTAAAAAAAAAGTCTACATTTAGGGGTTACAGAAAAGAATTTAAACTAGATTCGAAAAGAGTAGGTAAGAGCCATACAAGGAGAATTCATAAGAGTGTGAAATATTAGATAAATCAAAGGAAAGAGATTATGTCATGATAGGACAATTAATGGCTTCCAAAACTTCAAGGTCTAAGTAGCATGAGGATTGAGATGAAGTCACTGGATTTGATAATCAGGAAGTCACTAGTGATCATTAAGTGAGTAGTTGAGTAGTATAAAATTACACTACAGTTTGTTGAAAGCCTGACTACAATGTGATGAGAAATAAAAGGAAAGATACTAGGAAAGACAACTTTTTGGAAAACTCTGCCAGTAAAATGATGAACTGGGGGTAAGAAATTAAGTATATACTGATCATGTGAAGCCTGAATTTTGTTTGGAGAATGACAGCTGTATATAGAATGGGGTGGGGGAACAGTGGTGAGAGAGAGAAGGGGGATGCAAGTAAGATATAACTGATGACCAGTAGGTCAAAGACCCATTAGAAACCCCAGAAATAAGAGACATCAAAAACTTCAGAAAAAGAGATTCATCTTAGGAAATAGAGGGCTGGTAAAGCAAAAACTATAAAAAAAAAATTAAAAAGAGTAGAAGAGACATTTGAGGGATCAGAAAACAAACAGTGGCTCTTGACTATTGTCCTTAACCTCAATAAAGGACAAAGGGGGTTGTTTTGTTCCTGTTGTACATGTTAACAACATAAATGTTGAAAGCTTTAAGTATGATGAAAAAAGGATGGAGGAGGAAAAGGTCAGATGCTAAAGATTTTAAAAAGTGCCTAGAGTGTCTTCTAGGTTGAGAGTTTCTATTGATTATGATAAGGGAGAAGAGAGACAACATGACAACACTGATTTCCTTTTTGTTTTTTGAAATAAAGGCCTTGCTATGTTGCATAGGCTGGCCTCAAGCTTCCAATCCTCCTGCCTCAGCCTCCCAAAGTTGCAGGAATTACAGGCCTGCATCACTGGGTCCAGGAAAAATGCTGATTTCAAAGAAGAATAGTAACCTAGTTTAAAAAAAAAATGATCATCAAAGCAGATTTCAAAACAAAGGCCTGCACATGGCAGTAAGAAATGAGGAAAATAAGGGCTAACACATCCATCAGAGTCACAGGAGATAAAATGAAAGACAAAAGGACCTTCAGTGGAGATTTTAAGGATTATGACTGAGCTCTGAGGAAATGAAGAAATGAGTGCTAGAAGAAACAAAATATGTGAGAGATTTGAATCTGAGTTTCAAAGGCAGAGGAGAAGCATTAGTGCAGAAATTAGCAACGAATGTGGGTCAATTGAAAATCTGTGTGTGTGTGTATGTGTGTGTGTGTGTGTGTGTGTATTTTTGTCTAGCGGGGTACTAGGAATTGAACTCAGGGCCTCACACATACAAGGCAAATACTCTACCATTGAACTTCACTCCCAGCCCTTTTTATTTTTTGTTAAGACAGGGTCTCACTAAGTTGCCCAGCTAGTCTCGAAGTTGTGCTCATTCTGCTTCAATCTCCCAAGTAGCTAGGATTACAGGTGTTAGCTCTGACATTTTAATAAAACATTAACATTACCACATATTGAGAATCCCTTACCCAAAATGCCTGACCAGAAGAGTTTCAGATTCTGGGTGAACATATGAATCCAAAAACCTCAAATTCAAAATCTTCAAAATTGAAGACTTTTTTGAGCAACATTGCTAAGTACTTAAAAAAAAAAAAAAAGAATCAGATTTCAGATTAGGGATGCTCAATCTGTCCCTGTTTTACCCCACCACCCCCCCCCCCCCCCCCCCCCCCCCCCGCCCCCAACCCTGCCACCTCCATGCCCCTGGTGCTGGGGATAGAATCCAGGGCCTCACAATTCTAGGCAAGCACTCTGTCACTCTAGACTCCTAGAACAAGTTTTGGTGATAATGAAAATGTTCTGTATTGCACTGTCCACTACCGGTAATCAATGGATACATGTGGCTATTAAGCACTTGAAGGATGGCTTGTGTGTTTAGAGAAAATACACAGTAACTTTAATGGAGTAAGGTGTAGCCCCCAAATACAACAATGAAACAAAGGTAACTTCCTATTATTTAAAATTCATAGATATGAATACTGTCTGATCACTAAGTGTTTAGTACCGTCACTATCATTATTTTTAAATATGTTTAATTTAGCTGACAATGGATTCTAACTCATAGCTAATGATGGAACAAAATATTATTATCTACATATATTATTATCTGTGCCCTATTTATGTTATAAAAGTTTTCCACGTCTAGAGGAAAAACGTGTCTTTAGCCATATGTGAACATATACAAATGAGTGATTATAGGTGTTAAGATTTCCACAGCATTGAAAACTATCAGCAAATTAAAAATTAAGCATACAAGTCTCTCAAAATATGTCACCATATTGCATTACAATCTCTGAATAGTGATATAAGAAAATCATTTGCAGAGGAAAAAAGAATCCTTCAAATACCAAACCTGTTTAATTTAGAAAACTCAACATTTCACTTTGTGTTTGGAAAAAGTTTAGTTACAAAAGAATAACCAAAGAAATAGGAAAAAAAAGGAGTAATTCTGCATTGTCTTTATTTTCATCTTATTAGACTTGCCTTGGTCTTTTCAAAATTGGCTTCCTCAGTCATATGCACAGCTTGTTTCACCTGTTCATAAGCACTTGTTTCTCTTTGCTGCATATCTCCCAAGCTGTTCCTTACAGAAACTAGTGCAGACATTAAGTCATCTCTTTCTCTGTTAACACAGAAAGAAAAAGCAAAACAAGAAATGATCAAACTAGCATGTACTCCTAAGTCAGGAGGGAAAAAAGCATTAGTATATATTAGACAAAGAGCCAGGGAGGTCCAGCTCAACACACTGAAGCACACCCCAGAGAACTGTTCGCCCTGTGTCCTCACTTGGCGAGTGGCTGGCAGAGCAACCAGAGGGGCAGAGAGTATTTATGGCAAGGCTACATCTGTGTAATACAATAATCTATTGTGGAAAGGCTGGAACACTGAGGACTGCCCCCAAAAGAGCAAATTAGTTAGGAAAATGTAGTAGAGCTAGAAAAAAAAAAAAAAAAAAAAACACCAAACCCACACACAGTGGGATATTTTAGATATTGTATCTCAAAATAGGAATAAATGTTTTTAAGAAGGGACTAGGTGTAAAAGATTTATGTCATAAGGTTTCTCTAAATAAATAAATAAAAGGTAAAAAAAAACTAAGCCTATTTTGTCACTAATTCTTCTCATTCACTGGAACAAAAATATGTCCTTTCCTTTTCATCTTCCTCCCCAATCTTCCTGTTTACCCTTTCTTTCAATAAAATTCATTCACCTATTAACACATTATTTCAGTGGTAGTACAGTGGAAACTCTCAACCCCCCTGGTCATACACATAACACAATTTAACAAAACCATCTCACTAGGGTTGATAATGGCCACACCTACCTCTTCCTCAGCAATTCTCAGAAGTCTCCTGGGCAAAGCTGTTTCTTGGGGATAGAAGTGAACAGAATGTGAAAATGCTTTGGCATAGAATATAATAAGGATGCGATCTCATTGGTTAAATAAATCCCATATCAAATATAAGGATATTTGGAACTTATGGAATGAATAAAAATGCCCAGTAAGACCAAATACAGAGACAAAGTGAGGTTGGAAACTTTCTATATACACAAAACAAAAAAAAAAAAAAAAAGAAAGAAGGAAAGAAAGAAAAGGATGTTGGACTGTCATATACATGCAATTTTATGCTTTATTAAAGAATTCAAATTTTAAACTGTGTTTTCAAATTCAGTTGAAATGCTTACAGTTTCCTTTTTTTTTTTTTCCTGGTTGTATGCATAGTATATTCACACCAATTTATGTCTTCATACATGTACTTTGGATAGTAATGATCATCACATTCCACCATCATTAATTACCCCATGCCCCCTCCCTACCCCTCCAAACCTTCTGCCCTATCTAGAGTTCATCTATTCCTCCCATGCTCCCCGTCCCTACCCCAATATGAGTCAGCCTCCTTATATCAGAGAAAACATTTGACATTTTTTTTGGGGGGGATTGGCTAACTTCACTTAGTATTATCTTATCCAACGCCATCTATTTACCTGCAAATGCCATGATTTTCTTCTATTTTATTGCTGAGTAATATTACATTGTTTATATATGCCACATTTTTTTTTTATCCATTCATCTACTGAAGGGCATCTAGGTTGGTTCCATAGTTTAGCTATTGTGAATTGTGCTCCTATAAACATTGATGTGGCTGTGACCCTAGAGTATGCTGTTTTTAAGTCCTTTGGGTATAGACCGAGGAAAGGGGAAGCTGGGTCAAATTGCAGTTTCCTTTTTATTGCCAAGTTCTGAGAAAGGAACTGTGATTTTTTTTTTTTATTAAGCAAACTTTAAGAGTCATAGAAGATTATAAATGCTGAGTTTGAATTGCTTCTGAATTAACCAATATCTCCATTTAAAAAATCTTTTTAAGATAAAATAATTTTAACTATTTGTGTTATTTAGAAAGCAGACATTTTAAAAACATTTTATTGAACAAAGAATTATTAGCTGTTTCATAAAAGATCTTTTTGTTAAAAAATAATAAATTTCTATAAATATAACATTCATGGGAACAAGATGATCTTCACTTTAGAATTTCTTGATTTATTTGCTTTACAGTGATAAAAGTGATTTTAATTTTTTATCCTAAAGGAAATTTAAAAAGCGGTAATTGTTTTGATTAAATGTAATCAAGTACAATAATTACATGAAAAAGTGCAAGAATCAAAACAAGATTAAACTTTTCCATTATAAGTAAAAAAAATCAATACAAATCAAACAATATTGATTTTGTTATTTCTATTTAAAAAATTCATATAACAAAATGGAATTAGGTTCTTTGTGGATATGTAATCTAGTAGGACTTATGATTCTAGAAGAATATAAAGATTTATTCTTTAAGGATAGGAAGTCAATATAAATATCAGTCACCTGTCTTAAATTTTAAGATCTACTGAAAAGAAAAAGTTATTCTTCAATGATCTTATCTGTTCCTGATAACATGTCATCATCAAAGGAAAAGTTCCAAGTAATAAGAATGGATTAAAAAAAACCCTCAGTGTTATAAGTGTGCTAACAGATCACAACAGGTCAAAATCTAACAGACTTGTTTCTTATGGGAGACATATTTAATCTACTTAATTTCTTTTTAGGATAACCTTTTGTTATGAATAGTGTTTATTACACAATAGATGCTCAACAAAATAAGTGACAAAAGAATAAATGAATGAATAAATGCTATAGGATGGCATGAAAACAGGTAAATTAAAGTTACTTCCCTGTTCTATTATTCTTGATGTAAATTGAAAAAGTTATCTGACTATTTACAATCAGAAAGTAAACAGTTTAGTTTACTAAACTAATTCAAAACATTCTGATTTACAAATATTTCAGAATATAAATTCACTAACTTTAGACAACTGAACCACTGAAAATCATTAGATAGACCCCAAAATACAGTTGTCTTGTTGAACTCATCATACAACAGACTTCAAAATAATCATACTAAACATTTGTGCAACCACTGGACTGACCACTTCAATTTTCTGTAAAAACAAATGCACCATCTGCTTTAAGGTGGCCCTCAGATCATCTGGGAAGCTTGCAGGGAGTTGTTTTGGCAATTTTAAGATTATCCACTTAATCACTACATTTTTGCTTTGGCTTTGTTTTAATTAGGCCAGCCTCCATATACCAAAAAAAGCAAAGCTCTGGGCTGGCTGTGCCCTCTCATCAATACTAGGCCTTGATTCCTGCTCCATTCCTATGTTTATCTGACTGTAGCCCTTCTGATTGATCTACCGTTTTTCAGCCCCACACTCATTCCTTGGATCTAACAGTGCTATTAGTTATCTTACTCTTTGAAGACAGGCAACTGCAGCTAGCCAGAGTAACTATCCATCAGTTGCAGTCCTCTCCAAAACCTCAAGTCCACAGGGCCAGCCTGGGGCCAGGCATGAGAGAAGCTTTCACAATAGGAAGTAGTATAGATACATATGCTATTTTCACATGAGTGTGAGAGGGAAGAATCTCCAAATTATCATCCTCCCAGGCAAAAGTTCAGTGAGTGCTTAAAAACATCAGGTGACTGTTTTGATTTATATGATTAAGGAGTATCTCAAAGCAAGCAACACAGTGTTAACTTTTCAACATTCCATGACCCTGATGAAAGGCAGCTGAGGCAGAAAGATGACGTAAAGAGCATGAGTGTCAGTTCTGGGATTGAAAAAGCACGTAGTTGTTCATACTAACAAGCATGTAATATTTAAGGAACTTAGTGCAAAAATCAGAGCAGAGTAAAACTGAGAAAAATCTCTTAGTAATCTCAGCCAAGTTTTAAAAATAAGCAAAGAAGATAGTTGATCTGATATATATACGTTTCATCTTGTGTATATATCCTAAGAAATGTCTTATAATTGTTAAACTATTTCACTGTTATCAATTTTATCATTATTACTTGTATTTTTAAAAAAGAAAGTCTAGAAGGCTGACTATGACATTTTTTTGTTCCTCATTTCTGGGAAGTTCCTGTTGTAGTTTCTCAAAGCCAACTGTTCAGAATACTGCCAGTGATCCTCTCCAAAATCACAAGCTGAACTAAAGTCCTAGGATACTACTATGTTAATCATTCCTCCTTTTCTTAAAAAAAAAAAAAAAGTACAATGAAACTTGGAGAAGTGACCTAAAGAAAGGACTTTAATATAAAGCAGCTTCATCTTGATTACCATTTAAGGTATTTTGATTCTTTTCTGCGGGTGGGAGGGGGGTAGGTACAGTAGTTCATGCCTACAATCCCTGTGATTTCGGAGGCTGAGACAGGAGAATTGCAAGTGCAAGGCCAGCTTCAGCAATGTAGTGAGGCCCTCAGCAACTTAGTGAGACCCTGTCTTAAAATTAAAAAATAAAAAGGGATGGGGATGTAGCTTAGTTGTAAAGCTCCCCTGGGTTCAATCCCTAATACCAAAAAATAAAAATAAAAATTAAAGAAAAAGAGTTTTGTTTACTGTTACTTTTACCTGCCTTATATCATAAAGAGGCCTGATGGAAAGGCAGTTCAGAAACATTACAAAGACTTCAAATCAACTTTAAAAATGTTTCCAATGTTAACAGTTGTTAAGCGTACTCTCCAAAAAGTCTGTGAGGTCCTAACAAAATACCACAAATATATAGATGGTCTGATCTCCAAATTGTGCCTCATAGTCTCCTTGATAACTGCATAAGTATTCATTCATTCTTTTTTTTTTTGGGGGGGGGTCAGTGCTGGGAATTGAACCCAGTGTCCGGTGCATGCTAAGTGTATGCTTTACCAGTGAGCAACAACTCCAGCTCACAAGTAATTCTTCTGTCATATATTCAAAACATGCTAAACAATGAAACATGGTTGTTTAAAAATGGTGTCACAATAGCACATTTCCAAACGAGGTCAACAAACTTTTCCAGTTTAACATATTTAAGTAATAATTTTTAAAAATTCCATGTGAAAACCATACAGGAAATACTACTACATCAGATTATTAAGAGTTCAGGCTTTTAACCATTTAAAACTAGAAATCCAAACTTTAAGTCTTGGTCATGCTACAAAACCAGCATGTGGTAAACATTAATAAGTTAGAAGAAGCTGAAAGCCAGCTCATATTTAGGGAATTATATAGATCAAAATTTTCATTGACAATAAAAGCAGAAACTTCTCACTCTATTCTGTTACTAAAGCACAACATAAGCCAATAATATGCTGACAAAGCAGAAAATTGAACTAAGTAGGTTAATGTTTACTTTAAGAGGCTGAGATCAAATTTAGGATAGAGACAAAGGAATACATAACTTAGCAAGAATCTAATTTCTAAATGACTGCCAGACTTAGAATCAATGTAACATTGCAGCTTCCTTTTAAAATATTCTTCTCATGATCCAGAAGGATAATATGAAAGGAAGTATAATAAGGGTGGAAATTCCTATATTTTTATTTGTTGGTTTTGCTAAATTGGTTTTAACCTTTGCCTCTTTTTATCTGCAAAATATAGAACATACTTTTTCCTTTTTTGGCAGGGGGTACTGGGGATTGAACTCAGGGGTACTCAACCACTAAGCCATATCCCCAGTCCTATTTTGTATTTTATTAGAGACAAGGTCTTATTGACTTGCTTAGGACCTCACCATTGCTGAGGCTGGCTTTGAACTTAAGATCCTCCTGCCTCAGCCTCCCAAGCCACTGGGATTATAGGTGTGTGCCACTGTGTCTGGAGGTTTGTTCCTTTCAAAAAGTTTTTAATCAGTATAGTCTCCTTGCAAAATTAGTTATCCATATGGTAAAAATCTATGTGACACAAGTTTTCAATACCATTTCCTTTTTCCACATCTCCAGAAGCAATCACTGTTGAATATTTGGTGTTTAATCTTTCAAATCTTTTATTATTAATATATATGAACCTAGAAAAAATAGTATAATGGTTGTGTATGAAATCTAGAAAATACAAATGGTTTCATACTGGTTTATCTTTAGTTATTTTGTTTTGCTTTAATAATATATGTTGGAATTAGTTCCACATTAGTATACATAGATCTACATTAATTCATTTTTATACTGTTCATCCAAATCATAGTTTAATTAGTGTCTCTCTCTCTTTCTCTCTCGTATTTAGTCTCTTTTGAAGATACTTAGATTGTTCACTCTATTATAAACAGTGCTGTAAAACATATTTCCTATAAGTGCCACATTATATATATATATGAGCTTTTTCTCTAAGGTAGATTTTAAAAAGTGTCATGCATAATTTAAATATTAATGGTAATGCTAAATTGCCCTCTAAAGTAGTTATACCAACTTATAGTTCCACCAGCAAGAAAGAAAATTATTTATGAGCATTACCACCCCTTGGGATTATCAATCTTCTTTAATTTTTTCCTGATGGGTTAGTTTTTTCCTTAGATTTGATTTTCTTGAATACAAACAGAATGAACATCTTCTCATGTATTGACATCTTTCTCTTCTGTTGCTCACCAATTACTTTACTCACCATTCAACTGTGCAGTTTGTTGTTTTTGTTTGTTTTGAAGCAAATTCTTTACTACTCTTTTGATTAAAAATGGCAAACATTTTTTGAGAGTTTTAACAATTTTAAATACTTTATCATAAGGGAAATTATTCTTTAATGAAATCAAATGTGTCATTTTTTAATGACTTCCACTTTTCATGTTATACTTAGCACTGTAACAAGCCCAAGGCCATTAAGATACTTTTCCATATTTACTTTAAATACTTTTAAACTCTGAATTATATTTGTCTTTTTAAACTATCCTGAATTTTGTAAGGTCATGTTCTATTCTCTCTTTTTTTTTCCCCAAATATAAACAGACAAAATTTTACTTTCTTTGAGTTTCACTTTACATAGGTATAAAATAGTGGTAATCCTAACTATCTCACAAAATTTCTCATTAAGATTAGAAGGCTTGGGCTGTGGCTCAGTGACAGAATGCTTGATTAGCATATGTGAGGCACTGGGCTTGTTTCTCAGCACCACACACAAAGGAAAGAAAAAAAAAAATAAAAATATGTGTCCATCTACAACTGAAAATAATTTTTAAAAAAGATTAGAAAAAATTATTTTTCTAAATTGCCTGGTACAGCCTTGCAAATAATAAATGTTCACCACTTGTTAGTTGGATATGAAAGTAAATTTAATATATGTAATTTAATATTTATATTGAATATATATGAACTCATATATATTCATATAGTGTATATGAATACTTATATTGAATATATAAATAATTAATAACATGTTTAACTATATAATATTTAGAAACAACAACAAAAAACCCAGAACCATTGAGTAGATCACAAAAGCTATCATTCAGTCCATATTGGAGGTTCAGTTTTTACATAATAATTAGTAGGTTAGTCATACAGCTACCAGGTATATTGAATGTCCTTGGAGTCTGAAAGGTACAAAGTGATTTCAGTATTTACTGAATATTTACTATAGGTCGGGAAGTGTTTTAAGCACCATACAGTTAACCAATTCTCAATTACCCTTCAAAATGCCCTATGTGTTAGGTAATTTTACCACCATTTTTAAAATGAAGGAATTGAGGCACAAAGAGGTTGAGTAATTTTAGTGAAAGTGCATAGTAATTCAGTGATAGAACTAGCATATGAACCCAGGCAGTCTGTTTCAAAAGCCTGTACTACTGGTCAGAAGGCTAAGCTGACTCAGTAAAATACCAAGAGTAAGTATTATATCTCCAAGCAGCAGAAGATTCCAAATTCAGAGAACTAGTTGTCTAAAGGTCAAGACATACAGCAAGATCAGTCTCACTTTAATGATCATAGTCATTCCACTCTTCCACTCCAATTGCAACTGGAGTAACTCTGACAGCTAAACAATAAATGCCTTGCCACATGAACAGCAAACACTAAGTGTCTACCGTAGGCCCAAGTACCAGGAAACTTTATTGACCTATAGCAAATACTCAAAAAATACTGAAGCCCCTCTGTACCTTCCAGACTCTAAGAACATTCAATATATCTGGTAGCTGATGTCTAACCTGCTGATTGCTACCTCCAAGTATATGCAATATAAATCACAGAATAAAGTAATCTAAGATGGCTGAGGACAAAAATGGAACAGGGCTAGTGAAAGAATACTTCTAAAAGGGAAGTGAAGATTGAGCATAGCAGACAGAGAGAGGCATCTCTGAAAACAGAAAAAGCAAGGAGCATGGGAAAACCCACACTTCAAAACCAATATTGAATTCTATGATAAATAATAATTTTCAACTTCTAATGAATGAAATCTTCACAGGAAATGGCTTCCTTTGTAAAAGTGAACATGGAATAAAGGAGATGCACACAGAGAATGATATTTCAACCTCACTGCAAACTTTTACAACATTAAACTCATTTGTAATTTGTCCTTAGTCAATACTCAAATATTAATACTACAATACATTGGGTCCTTCTCTCACTATGCTCATAATATTCTTCATAACAGGCACATGAGGAACATGTAGTAGTAACTCATTGTACCTAAACTATACTGGGGGAATCCAAGTTGTGACAAAAATAAAGGAATTCCTGTAATACTTGGTTTTGCTAAGAATAGTGATGGGTTTGTTTATTATAGAGTCACAGAACTGGACTCTATAATAAACTCGATTAACTAGTTCCATTCAAGATGATACCGAAATCAAAAAATTAAATAGGTTTTTCAAAGTGACATGGTTACTCACAGTTGGCAAAACTTCCCATTCTTTCTTTAAGGAAGCTACATTGAAGGAATCTTTTAAAATCCACTGTATTTGAGGCTTAATACTAACCACGTGTGATTTATTTAGCATGGGGATAAAAGAACACATAATTTTCTATGTTGCCAAAGACTTTGCACATATAAGCATACTTACTTAGACAGTCTTTCGATGGTTTGGATGTGTACGTTATTATGAGTTTGGGAAAGAACAGCTTCATGCTGAGCACACTTCAAACAAAGGCCACCAACATGGCTGGAAATATTAGCAGCAAGAAGAGACTCTTTATGCTTTAATCGCTCTCTAAGATCTTCACAGTTTTTCTGATATTCAGCTAAGTCTTTCCTAAAAACAAGGGGAAAAAATTCTAGGAAATATCCTGGAAGAAGTATTCTACTTTAAAGTCAGTCATCATTATGAATTACTACCATCATTATGGGTGTTTACCTTACAACTTTGCTTCACAACCCTGAAACGTAGGTCTGATTATCCTGATGCAGTGATTATTAGACTTGAATATATTAAGTAGCTCAAGTTCTTGTAAGATTTTAATACAGATTAGAATATACCCTGTAATAGAATTTTACCTCCATTAACATATTACCTACAAAACAAAAATAAAACTCCAAATATAAACCCTAAATAGTCTCTCTTAATAAAAGGTGGGATGACATGATACAATATCCTTGAAGTAAGGGAAATAACCTATTTTGGGAGTTAGGTTCATAAAATTTATAGAGAATACCTCAAAAGTTCAACAAAGAATATGGATTTTATCCATGACTAACTTATTATTTATTATTTCCTCTTTAGGAGGAAAAAATAAAAGATTATGTAATCACAAAGTTCTTCAAAGAGTTGTTTCAAAAGAAAGTGGGCCACAGAAAGAAATTACAGAGAACTTGCCAGTCAAGAATTCAAAAGTAGTAGCTATTAGCTAGAAATATGCAGCTTGCTAAAGAAAGAGCTAAAGAATTGTGTGTGTGTGTGTGTGTGTGTGTGTGTGTGTGTGTGTGTGTGAGAGAGAGAGAGAGAGAGAGAGAGATATTTTTGTTTGCTTTTACTTTATGGGCTCACCCCTAAAAGAAGTTTTTCTCTAAATTGATATTTTAAGAATTAAGTGACCAGTACATGGGTTGCATTTCCCCAATTTCTTCTTCATCTCTAGTAAAGCCTTGGTAAAGTCAACTGAGCAACTGAGCCTCATTGTCCAGAAGTCCTTTTCCATGTATATATGGAAAAGATGTATACACACACACACACACACATACACACACATATATATGGGTCTCATTGTATTGCCTAGGCTAGCCCCAAATTTGTAATCCTCCTGCCTTAGACTCCCAAGGGGCTAAAATTACAGGATTGTGTCATCCTACCATATATTTTTTAAAAGCCAACTACCAAGCTTGCAAAGGAGACAATGTTATAAATTCTTGGACTGCTGAAGGTATACACTCAGTCTACTACTGTGTCCTGCTCAGTCCTGGACTACCAAAGGTATACACTCAATCTCCTGCTCAGTCTACTCCCTGTTGTTGGCGTTTCTATGCTTGGGGACTATAACTATTTTAACTTGCTCAGTGTTATGGTTTGGATCTAGAATGTTTCCCAAAGGTTAATGTGTTGAAGGTTTGGTCCCCAGTATAGCAACTGTGGGGCTTTTGGGAAGTAACTGGGTTATTAGGGATTGATCTTATCAATGGATTAATCCATCGATCAGTTCATAGCTAATGGCATTTTGGGGAGGTGGTGGAAACTGTAGGAGGTGAGGTCCAGTTGAAGGAAGCAGGTCACTGAGGTCATGCCCTGGAAGGGTATATCACGGTTCTAACCTTTTCCTCTTTCTGTATCTCTCTCTCTTTCTCTCTGAGTCCCTACTGCCATGATATGCGGCTCTGCCATACCCTTCCACCATGATATTCTGCCTGGTCTTAGGCCTAAAGCAATGGAGCCAGCAGACCTTCAACTGAAACCTCTAAAACTGTGAGCCAAAATATATCTTTCTGGCTTTTAAGTTTCATATTGGGTGGTTTAATCATCACAATCAAAAGCTGACTAGTACACTCACTGTTGCAGAGGAAACGCCAACAACCATTCCTCCCGGCTGAAATATACGTCTTCAACTCTTGAGATTTGAGGACTCTCAAGCAGCCCAAAGGAGGTGGAGTAATTTTTAGAATGTCTAAGGATTAAAAAAAAAGTTAATCTAATGGTGGTTTAAAATTTGGAGGGGGAAATAAAGGAGTTGTGTTTGCCCTCTCTCCAATATAGCATTTCTAACATAATGTTTTGTTTTAAGTATTGCATAAAGAAAGTTTGAATTTCAAAGGCTTTATAAAAAAAAAATTTTGGAAGCACATTCCAAAGTCAAGGGGGCCTATTACTAACTTCTGTCAGGTTCAGACTAAAAACACTCAAGTAGATTTGGTTACTGGGAATGGCAAAAGAGAATATTTAAAAGGAATTTCTGAATAGTGATTTTATTTCTTTGTTTCAGAAAAATGCCTCTTTGAATAATCTTAAATTAGGTTACAAAAAAGTTAAGAAACAGAAGAATGCAGAGAATAAAGTCTAACTCAGTGCAAGTTGGTATGCTAATGTAATTAAAGATGACATAGTTGAATTCTGAGTGAGACTAAATAAGTCACATTCTCATTAGTTTAATATCTAGAAACATATCACTTCAAAAATTGAAGAATTAAATCATGATGAAAATCAAAAGACAACAAAGTAAGATAAAAAGCAGGAAAGCGAGTATTAGACTATTTTTTAAATGTTAGGGTTCTTTGTGAAAAAGTAAAAAATCTCTATAGAAATCCTAAAACTTAAGAGTACATTAAAAATAAGTAATAGCATGTACAGTGAAAGCCATTAGTTCTGATTCTTTGCATTGCTCTAGGTAAATCTAGTCGGTACATGAACTAGAAGATTTTCCAACTTATTTCAAGTTGTACTTAGTAAAATAAAATTATAAAAATATTTTTAAATTCACTTGATTTGAAAACATGTATTACCACAATTTCAAGTAATCTTTTATCAAAAATTAATTGCTGATATCTTTTTCTACTTATTCATAAATCAGTAATGGTTAATCTATTAGTCAAAGTTTTAATGGGATCTATAACATAAAGAATTATAAAAAGTAGATGAACATTCATCAAATATACTTAAATTCATCATGCATACAAATATTCAAATTATTATATTATTGTTACAGCTTTAAATTAGATAAAGTTGATCTACAGATAAAAAATTACTTGCTTATAATTTTAATGCTTGAGTGTTTTATTTCACTATTTAACTATAAAAGCACAATTTGTAAGAACAACTAGTAATCCTTATTTCTATAAGAAAACACAAATATGTTACAACTGATGAAGATGAAAATGTATAATTTAGCACACAGAAATGTTGTTTGAAAAAGGATTCACAATTTTATGCCTTTTCATCCTTTACTAATGTGAGAAAAATTGCATATAAATCATATTGCATATAAAATATTACCAAGTAATTCTAAATTTGAGTAAAACCAGTAGTTCATAAACATTCAAACATATATTAAGATCATTATTCTTTTACTGTGACTATAAATGGATAATTCACTTTACCTCAAAAATGTCAATTGAGATTCCAGGATTTCACTCTTTGCCTCATATGTAAGTTTTAACCCCTCCTAAAGAACAAGAAAAGAAAAAAACATTTTTTTCATGTCTGTGTTTTATAAGTACATTTAAAATATTAATATTAAACTTAATATTTTCTTTCCTTTACAAACACAAATAACTGTTTACTCTTAGAAAACATTTTCTTTAGCTCACGCAATTTTTAAAAATTTTTGGTGGATAAATGCCTCCAAAGAACTACTGAGTCATAAAATGGCTATTATTGACACTTTTTTTTGTCTTTCAAAATTGCACATATCAGATCTTACCCTTCTAAGTGTGACTCAGAGAAAAATATATTGTTAAATTAGTAGATCCATGAGGACAAGTTTAAATCTATTGGAAAATCACTATTCTGACTCAAGCATATTTGACATAGAATAAATGTGTGCTGGATAGATGATAAAAAGTAATGATATAAATCACATGAAGAATCAATAAATGGGATGGATTCAAACTAAAAAGTTCCTTCTCAGCAAAAGAAACAATCTGTGAGGTAAATGGAGAGCCTACATCTTGGGAGCAAATTTTTACCTCTCACGCATCAGATAGAGCACTAATCTCTAGGGTATACAAAGAACTCAAAAAGCTAAGCACCAAAAAAATAAATAACCCAATCAATAAATGGGCCAAGGACCTGAACAGACACTTCTCAGAAGAGGATATATAATCAATCAACAAATATATGAAAAAATGTTTATCATTTGTAGCAATGAGAGAAATGCAAATCAAAACTACTCTAAGATTTCATCTCACTCCAGTCAGAATAGCAGCTATTATGAAGACAAACAACAATAAGTGTTGGCGAGGATGTGGGGGAAAAAGGCACACTCATACATTGTGGTGGGACTGCAAATTGGTGCAGCCAATATGGAAAGCAGTATAGAGATTCCTTGGAAAACTGGGAATGGAGCCCCATTTGACCAAGCTATCCTCTCCTCGGTCTATACTCAAAGGACTTAGAAACAGCATATTACAGGGACAGCCACATCAACATTTATAGCAGCACAATTCACAATAGCAACACTGTAGAACCAATCTAGATGCCCTTCAGTAGATGAATGGATTAAAAAAATGTGGCATATATACACACAATGGAATATTACACAACAATAAAAGAGAATAAAACCATGGCATTTGCAGGTAAATGGATGGTGCTGGAGAAGATAATGCTAAGTGAAGTTAGCCAATCCCTAAAAAACAAATGCTGAATGTTTTCTCTGATATAAGGAGGCTGACTCATAGTGGAGTAGGGAGGGGGAGCATGGGAGGAATAGACGAACTCTAGATAGGGCAGAGGGGTGGGAGGGGAAGAGATGGGGTAGGGGGTTGGCAAGGATGGTGGAATGTGATGGACATTATTATCCAAAGTATATGTATGAAAACACGAATTGGTATGAACATATTTTATATACAACCAGAGATACAAAAAATTGGGCTGAATATGTGTAATAAGAATTGTAATGCATTCTGCTGTCATTTACTTTTTTAAAAATCAATTAAAAAATTTAAAAAAGTAAATAAATCACATGATAGGCCAAAATGGTACATCATCTAACAAACTTCATTCAGTTGGTATCCAAATGTTCTTTTATCTAACAAGTATTTATTGGATGTCTAGGATGAAGGTGCCTCAAAACTCAAGGAACTTATTCTCTAGGAAGTAATAGAAAGATCATCAATTTCAATTATACATAATTATTTTAGTGAGGTATGCAGAAGGTAAAATGGAAAAGAGGCAAGACCTCCTAACTGAGCCCAAAATAAAGAAGTTTACACAGAGGAAGTGCTAAGACTAGAAATATAATTTCTAGTAAAGCAAAAGCCTAAAGGCTAAAGAAATCACACTCCAACTTTAGATGGTATACAGATCATTTATCACCAGAATTAAAATACCAGGTGGAGGAATGGGTAAAGATGAACTAAATAGGTAAGTTAGACCATGAAAAGAAAAAAATATTAAGACCTTTCTTTACACAACTTTTATAATCAAGCCACTGGATAGTCATTGAAAACTTTTTATTACGTTGAATCTTAAGTCAGAAGTATGGAGAAAGAGAAGGCAGTAAAGAAGTCATTGCAAATATGCAGGTAGGTGATAAGCATGTGAAAAAAAGCAATTAAGTTGTAAAGATCAAAAAGAAAAAAATTAGCCAGGTGCAGTGGTGCAGCAAAAGTGAGGTGCTAAGCTACTTGGTGAGACCCTGTCTCTAAATAAAATACAAAATAAGGCTGGGGATGTGGCTCAGTGGTTGAGTGCCACTGAGTTCAATCTTTGGTTCCTTCCCCCACCACAAAAAAGAAAGATTTATGTCTACAACGACTCCATCTCCAATGTGACCTCCTCCATCTTGGGACACTGCTGCCACCGCCATCGCCACTTTAAGATGTAGTAGCTTCCATCTTGTGACACAGGCCAGGGCCTGGAAGCCCAATATCAAGCTGTCTGTGGGTATGCCACCACTGCTACCATCTCAGGCCGCTTCCATCTAGGGACACTGGCCAGGGCTTGGATGTCCATTATCAAGGAGCCTACAGATTTGATGACACCTGAGGTCTTTCCTATTAGGTGTGCTAGTAGCCACCATCTTGCTGCAGAGGAGGGTGGGAGCTGGGCTTTCTCTAGATCTGCAAGTGCTGAAGCACATGGAGACAGATGGGGAAGAATGGAAGAGGGTGTGATGACATCTTGCTTTTGGTTCACTCAGCCAACTGGTCTGGCACCCACTGGGTTCCTGGGGCCCACTTGGGTTGTCACTCACTGGGCCCTGGCACCAGCCTGGTTGCCAACTCCATCCCCAATCTTTCATCAATAGATTCCCCTGGTCCTGCTAGGTTTGGCATTGGTCTGGCACCCAACAGGGCAAACTAGCTCCTAAACCCTCCCTAGCTACCAATCCTAGCCAGAGCTCACAGCAACATGGCCATCCATAGCTCCCAGTGCCTGGTTCTGATTTGCTTAATACAGAACAGCTCTCCATGATAGGCACACAGGTTCCAGCAATCAGCTCTCAGGACCATCGGGAGAGAAGTGCCTGATGTCTTAATAGGAGCTATTTGGTTTAAGGCTATGTATTGTTTGTATTGGGTGCTGTTAATATTTATCTCCCCCTTAAACACAAGGTACTGAAAAATTCAGAGACACTATAAATCTACAGGGTAGAAACAGTGGTGCTTCGGATCGACACTGATAGATGGAAAGATACACCAAAAACATGAAAAAGAAACAAACAAACAAAAAAACCAAGAGAACAAACTGCCCCAAACAAACCAAGATGCTCCAATGACAGAGTCCATTGACAATATAGTAGAAGAGATGTCAGATAAGGAGTTCAGAATGTACATAAACTGATTCATGTCATAAAGAATGATGTAAAGAATGAAATCAGAAATAAATTTCAGGAGGTGGAAGATCACTTCAATAAAGAGAGATTATGAAACGAAATTAAGCAGAAATCCTTGAAATGATGGAATCCATAAACCAAATTAAAAATTCAATGGAAAGTACCATCAAAAGACTAGAGCACTTGGAAGACAGAATCTCAGGCAAAGAACACAATATATAATCTTGAAAATAAAGTTGATCACACAGAGAAGATGGTAAGAAACCATGAATAGAACTTCCCAGAATTATGAGATAACATGAAAAGACCAAATTTAAGATTTATTGGGATAGAGGAAGGTGTGGACATACAAACCAAAGAAATGCACAATCTTTCTAATGAAATTATATCAGAAAATTTCTCAAACCTGAAGAATGAAATTAAAAATCAAATACAAGAGGCTGATAGGACCTCAAACATACAAAATTACAACAGACATACAACAAGGCACATTATAATGAAAATGCCTGCCATACTGCATAAGGATAGAATTTGAAAGGCTGTAAAGAAAAGGATCAGATTACATAGAGGAGGAAACCAATTAGAATCTCAGCTGATTTCTCAACCCAAACCCTCAAAGCTGGGAGATTCTGGAACAATATATGCCAAGCTCTGAAAGAAAACAGATGCCAAGAATTTCATATCCAGTAAAATTAAGCTTCAGAATTGAAGAAATAAAAACATTCCATGCTGAACAATAGTTAAAACAATTCACAATTTCTAAGCCTGCCCTACAGAACATTCTCAGCAAAATATTCCATGAGGAGAAAATTAAAAACAACAAAAAAGTGAAACCCAGCAAAGGGAGGAACTACATTAAAGGAAGAGCCAATCAAAGGAGAAACTAAGACAAATAAAAAATCAGAAATAAATCAAAATGAATGGGAATAAAAATCATATCTCTATAATAATTGTGAACATTAATGGCTTAAACTCATCAATCAAAAGACATAAACTGGCAGATTGGATTAAAAAATATGACCCAACAATATGCTGTTAACAAGAGACTCACCTCACTTGCAAAGACATCCACAGACTGAAGGTGAAAGGATGTGAAAAAATGTATGACTTGTGTGGACTGTGTAAACAAGCAGGGGTTTCCATCCTCATGTCAGATAAAGTGAACTTCAAGCGAAAGGTAGTCAGAAGGTACAAAGAAGGATATTTCATATTACTTAAGGGAATCATAAGTCAAAAGACATATGCTCAATGGAACATCGACATACATCAATGGAGCATTGACATACATCAAATACAACCTTCTCAATTTCAAGAATCAAACAGGCCACAACACAATACTGGGTGACTTAGACACACCTCTCTCATTACTGGATAGATCTTCCAAACAAAAACTAAACAAAGAAACTACAGAATTAAACAATACAATCAATAATTTGGACTCAATTATATTTGTTTCATCAATGAGCGAATACACTTTCTTCTCAGCAGCAATTGGATCCTTCTCAAAATCAGACCATATCTTATACCACAAAGGACCTCTTAGCAAAAAACAAAACAAAACAAAACAAAAAACAACCCAGAGATACCAACCCTGCATTCTATCAGACCATAATGGAAAGAAATTAGAAATCAACAATAAAATAAAAAATAGAAGCTACCCCAACACC